ATTTTTTAAAAAAATTTGTTTCATGTCGGATTATATTTCTACAATAAAGTATCCATCTTAATGTAAAATGGTGGTCCATCTAAATACAAATGTAACTAATTGTCGAAATATTTTTTTTAATATTATTATTATTTTTTATTTAGATTATATCTTCTCTAAAAATTAAAAATAAATTATATTTAAAATATATATTTATTGCCGAGATGCATTTTTACGATATGCGGGCTGACCGCATAGAAACCGCGTCCATTTGTGAATGATATCCTGTCTCATTATTTGTGGCTGTGTAGGGCAGTTTAGTCAATTCTTTTAAAAACAGGTGGCAGTACCTCTCGATTCTTCAAAACTTGGGGCGTCGTTCCAAGTGTATAGATACATACATACTTCTAGAAAAAGTTTATACAACTTTAAAACGGAGAATTCCATTTCCAATGCACCTTAAAAAAATCTATAAAAAAGGAAAAAAAAAAACAAGAAGTTAGTTTTAATATCGAAAAACCCTCTATCATCTCCTCTCCTGCATGAGTATGAAAAAAAAATAAGGTTTTGAATAAAAAAAAAGTGGTCCACCATGCAACACATTATCTAAGTTATCTATTTTCAAGATTTTAATATGTTTAACTAATTTTGGAGTTTAAAATTTTATAATTAGATATAAAAAAAAGTTTTGAGATTATATTAATAACTTTTTTGCTTCAAAATGATAAAATTTGCAACCTTACAGAAGCCACACGCTTACGTAAAATTTGGGAAAAGTATATGGAGTGAGCAACTTTGAAGGGAAAAGCGGGAAATGTGTACCACAAGGGAGATGGGCTCAAGAGAGAGAAAGAGACGGTCACTTTTAGTTTTTTGTAGAGAGAGAGAGAGAGAGAGCACTTTTAGTGTTTTTGAGAGAGAGAGAGCACTTTTACTTACGAAGAGGAGTTAATGCGAGAGAGAGGATGTGTCGGCAGAAGAATGTAAGGTCATATTCAAAGGGCGGGAAAGAAATAAATAACAGATCAATAAGGAGAGAAACGAGAAAAAATAACAGCCGTTCGAAATTAACGGCTCTCTCTCTCTCTCTCAAATGGGTTGTCCATGCTGTCTGTCTCTCTCTCTCTCTAAAATTAGTAGTCTCCTTGCTATAAGGTTCACCTCTCTTCGCTTTTTCTTCACAGGTCCACTGAAATCAATCGATAATCCCCCGTTCGCCGTGAAAAACCCTAAATCTTCGACCTCAAACTCCCCATTTTACCCTGCGTTTTTCTCTAGGAATGCGGCCTTTCGTATGCATCAAACCCTAGAAAAAGCGAGCGAGCGAGCGAGCGAGCGAGCAATGCAGGTCTGAGTTCTCTGCAACTCTTTTAAGTAACAAGGAAAACGGTGGAGGAAACCCTAAGTTTGTGCCTTTCTCTCAATCCAACCATAGAAGAAGAGAGATCCTATCTTTTGAGTCCCTGTCTGTGCAGTTCTCTCCAAAGAATCAAGGAGCATTGCAGATCTTAGTGCCTAACTCTGCGAATCGATTGAAGAAGTGGAAGAAACTGTGGATTCAAAGCCTGACGCCTGATACCGAGAATTTGGCCTCAATTGCGAGATTGAAAGGCTTCCTCGACCTTCATATTAACAGGTATAAGGGTTTGCACCTCATTTTTCTTAAGGTTTTTGCCACATTTTCTTGGATTTAGCAGTATCAACCCAATTGTATGCTCTTATTGCTCTGTAATCGACTGTTTCTTGAGTCATTTCACTCGATCTGCAGAGATTTGCGGTTCTAGACTTTAAGGCCTCCTGCTAGTACTGCTGACTTTGGATTAGGGCTGGGGTAGTGTTTGCTATGTCAAGCTCTGTTGATCACGCAATTTCAACCATGACGGGAACCAAACCGTGTGATCTTGAGTCTAAACCTTCAGTTGATTTGAACGTGAGCAAAAAAGAGATGACAGCCTGTGCTTGTGAGCCTACGTCTTTGAATTCTTGTGGAGAGGACTTACAATCTTGTTTCTCGGCGCCCAAACCATTGAGCAATGGACATTTGAAGAAACCTGTGGTCAATGGACATACAGATGAACCTTTGATCAATGGACATTCGGAGTTGAAACCCTGTGACCCAGAGTCGAACCCTTTGGTTGATGAGTCCTCAGGAAAAACAGAACCAAAATCTTGTAATGGAAATACGGATTCATTGCTAAAAGAGCCCAAATCTTCTGATTCATCACTAGGGGTTTTGGCTCCTTCCAGTTTAGTGAAAAAGATGAAGAATTTAGGGCTTGAGAAGCTAAAGATCTTTGTTGGATATGACCCAAAAGAAGATCTGGCTTTCGAGGTTTGCCGCTACTCTATTTTGAAGCGGGCAACCATTCCAGTTGAAGTCATTCCCATTAAGCAATCAGATCTCAGAGCCAAGGGCCTCTACTGGCGCGAAAGGGGCCCAACTGAGAGCACTGAATTCTCATTCAGTAGGTTCTTGACGCCTTACCTTGCTGGTTATAATGGCTGGGCTCTCTTTGTTGACTGCGATTTCCTTTATACGACAGATATTAAGGAATTGACCTCCTTAATTGATGATAAGTATGCCATTATGTGTGTTAAGCATGAATACATCCCAAAAGAGAGCACCAAAATGGATGGGGTTGTTCAAACTGTGTATCCAAGGAAGAATTGGTCATCAATGGTGTTGTATAATTGTAGTCACCCAAAGAACAAGGCTCTTACACCTGAGCTTGTGAATACACAGACTGGTGCTTTTCTTCATAGGTTTATGTGGCTTGAGGACCATGAAATTGGTTCGATTCCATTTGTTTGGAACTTTCTTGTGGGTCATAATAAAGTGGTTGATGGTGATCTGGAGTCCTACCCTAAATCTCTCCATTACACAAGTGGGGGGCCGTGGTTCGATGCTTGGAAGGACTGTGATTTTGCAGACTTGTGGATTAAGGAAATGGAGGAGTATAAGAGGTGTGGAGGTGGTTTTGAGTGCATTGGAGATGGTTTAGAGTGCAATGGTCTTGCTGTCTGAGGAGGAGGAAACCATTATATGGGTATATTTTCCTGTTCTATGAAGATAAAACAGTGGGACTTAGATCTTGATCATATGTTTGTTTTATTTGGTACTCAATGCCTTTGGAAGTTCTCTGGTTAATGGAGAGGATTAGGATTATATGTTGACATTTGTTTGTTGGGTTTATCAGCCATTTGATATGGGTATTCTTTCTGTCGAACCACGATGTTAGATATTAGTGATAGGGCTGTTTTTCCATCTTGCCTGTTTCATTTTATTCTTTGGAACTCGTGGTAATTCTTTATATGTTCTTGGGGGATGTATTCTATTGGTTTTACTTTGTACTAATTGCTAATACCCGGATATTATTAAGGATCAATGCATTTCTCTATCATTCTCTCTCTTCTTTGACTTCTTTTTCCTTTTGTATGGTTTTTCCTTCCTATATGGTTCCTTTGGGGTCATGTAAATGCTTTTGGATGGTAATGCCTTCAAAAGCTAAATAAAATGAAACTGAATTTTGTTATTTGGATGTAGTCGTGTTAATATATCCGGCTCTCTTTAAATCTATTTGAATATCAATCTTAAAATGGTATTCTTTAGTCCAGGGGGAAATGCTTGTGATTATATGAACCATAAAATTTCGCCATCCAATGGGTCTTCTCATGCTTTATGCTTTATGATGTAAACTTGCTAAACATAGTATTGAAATCCTTTGAACTTTGGCTCTAGATGGGGTGTAAGTATGATCATTTGAACTTTGGCACTAGATGGGGTGCATATGAAGCTTACGTATGTGGTTAACAAAATATATCTAATGGGTTTCTTATGAGTCAAGCTGCTTCGTAGTTTTCTTGTTAGACAAAAAAAAGCTTCTCATAGCTTGTGCAAGTTCTGGCTTTATCATGCAGCTGATGAATTTTGAAAGTATAAATGTGTTTTGATATGAATATTGGTGCTTTTAATGAGTTGTGGCATCTGTTTGTGGGTTTGCACTAGAACACAAGTAGAACTAGGCTGATTCTTAGTGAAGGTAGGAATTGATGGGGCATGGGAAAACCATGACCCACCCACTCCAGTCCACTCAACAGTGCTTATCAACCTGCCCTCGCCGCCGATACCCAAGCAGGGTTTTTAAGTAAATCATCCCATCAAGTATTGACCAGCATTCATTGTTGAGAAAATGCGTTTTTTCGCATATCATTTGGCTTGGTCCAATGTTTCAAAACCTGGATCTCAGTGATTTAGACCGATATGGATCAGTTTGAATCAGTGGTCTAGAAAAATATTAAAAAAACAAAATAAAGATTAAGATGAGGGTTTATGAGATGGGGACTTAGGGTGGATTGAATGAAATATTAAACAAGCTTAAAAAACAAAAAAAACAAATACGGAAGCAGGGGGTTTTGGGGGCACTTGGCGGTAACATCTCGAAACCAGTTCAGTCTTGGCCGGCGAACCATATCAAGAATCCCAGGGTTGGAGATCACCATTTTGATTTATTGTTGCCATTTCTTCAGCCTTTCCCTGTACAAATTCGCATCGTTTCTCTTTTGTATGGGGAATGGGTGTTTTCCGTGTGTTTTTTTTGTGGCATTAAAAGGGTAGTTCTGTAGTTTGGAGTCCTCCTCATGTGTTCGAACAACCCCTTTTTCGAAAGTTGCATTTTTTATGGCCATAATGCAATATGTAGTGTTAGTGAGGGCAATCCATGAGGTGTAAATAGGGCCAGCAATCGGCTTGATAATCTGGGCCAGCTTGGACCATAAGACGTGGCTTGAGAGCCAGGCAAAAGGACCAGCGCCAGCCCGGTTTTGGCCCAACCTGTCCATTTTTCCCTTGTTTTTTTTGGCCCGACCGGACCTTAATAGGAACAGGACCTGCACAATGGAGACAACAGCCGCCGTGCCGTGCCGTGCGGAACGCAGGTCCAGCCTGTTGCCCATCTTGTGGCTCGGCGAATGAGCCAAATTCTTGAACCGCGTAAGCATTTGTGGCTTCGTATAAATTCCAGCAGTCTCTGCTGAATTCATGTTGTTATGTGGCCACGTGTGTGGTACGTACGGCTGGCCAGACCCCAGCTGTCCTCTTAAACAGTTTTAAATAAAAATTATTTTATTTATGTCAATAATTACAAAAAGGTCGACATTTCATGCTCTTTCACTTGATCCCCGGGGGGTGGGGGAAGACCATTTGATGGCGGTTTTCTTAACCCTAAATCCTGGGATTGTTTTTAACTTATCCTAGCCATTTAATTAGGGGTGGAGTTAGCATACGGATTTAATTAGATATGCATACGGATGAACTTATCCTAGCCATTTAATTTAGGGGTGCAGTTAGCATACAGTTAGCATACGGAAGCATCCGTAGCTGTAGCGGTAGAGGGCACCTTCAAATTTTATCATGGTATACAATTTTGATTTAAAATGTTCCTACAATTATCTCAAATTCTATTTTTTATATCTAATTATAAAATTTTCAATTTCAAAAAATGGTTAAAATCAACTAGCTCTATAAACATATGAAAATCTTGAAAGTAGACGGTGTAGATAATATGTTGTAAAATACATTATTTTTTAGACTTAAAATCTTTTTATTTTTCATGGTCATACATCTCGATGTCGAGATGATCAATCAAATGGTTTTTCAATATTAAAACCACTTTTTTCGATGGATTTTTGAGGTACATCCGAAATTCTACATTATAAAGTTGCATTCTTATATAAGCTTTTTCCTTTAATTAAGGCCATTTATCTTTCATACAATATGGTCACATTAATCTTGACCATTAGGTGTGAAATTGGTGGATACAATTATTCCATTGACCAAGCTCAAACTTCAAAAAAAACTTCTTCGAGTTTTATGTCACATCCAAACTATCAAATTTCACATCACTCTATACTTTTCCTATTCTAAAGATCATATGTTTCCCTCCTCCCAACTATGAAAACCATTGAAGAATTGCGGAAGTAGTTTGTTAACCTCCACTCTAGATCAGATGATCAGATCATCGGGCAGCTTGGTACTGCCAAGTTTCCCTCCTCTCTAATTTAATGTTGTTGCATT